GTTATCTACTAGCTATTTCATTAAATTAATTTTAAATTTAAAGCATAAAAAGGGATAACAATTTCTGTACATTTGCTAATTGGTGTTCCACTTAATTTTCTTTTTTTGGAAGGCAATCTCTATTTTTTTTAGGGGTTTTGTTACTTTGTTTTGCTTTTTGTGTTTTTTGTATTTTTTGATCTTAGGATTTCTGATACTCAAATAATTTATTTTGTTATGTCTCCTTAATAAAATTCATTTTATTATTAAGTTAAAAATTAAAAATGAAAAAAAACTAGCAGAACACATATTTGATGCCTTGATGGGGACTTTAATAGATCAGTAGATGAACTTTGACCCCAGAATTTTATTGCAGGTGGTAGTGCTCCAATGTGCTTCACTGAAAGTTAAACCATTTAAGCAGATGTAGTTGGAAGTTAGACCTAATGTCAATATTATTCTTATTCTAAAATAATATGAAATTGGATTTCGTATTATGCATGCCATGCGCTTTGCTTTAAGTCAAGCACATGCCTATTTTTAAGTGTTAGGCTCCTGACTTTGAGGTGTGAATTGTGCCTTTTAGAACACTGAATATTGTGAAGTTTAGTGATCAAAATTCATAGAAAACTACATGCAAACTAAAACTAATTACTTGCAACTTTGTTCAGCCTTATGTGCTAAGAAAATTAATCTAATACTTTAAATCTTGTAGCGATGTCTTCTTAATTTTGTAGGGATGATTTTGTGGAAGATGTTATATTAGTCCTTATTGTTGCTTTCCATTGTCAAATTGAGTTAACTTGTCATTGAATGCATTGATCGGGTGACACTATCAGACCGTAAATATGTCTCAATTGAGAAGGAGATACCCCTTGAACTCTCAAAAAAAATTAAATTACTTCAATGCAGCTACCAGTCCATTGAAGATAATGCTTCCTTGGTTGATCCATTACATCAAAAGAGAATTACTAGAATTCAAGACATTGGACTCAGATAATGTTGAGCTTGTTAACTTCTTTTAACTGAGTCTGATGTAACTTTAGATGAAGCCAATGCTCTCTATTACCTTGCAGTGTACTGTGATCCTAAGGTTTTCTCTAAGGTACTTGGTTTGGGTTTGACTGATGTCAACCTTCAGAATTCTCAGGGGTATATTGTGCTTCATACTGCTGCCATGTGTAAAGAGCCTTCAATTATAGTTTCACTTCTTACAAAAAGGGCTCATGCAACTTGACCTTAGATGGTCAGTGTAAAATCACCTCCCAATTATCATTTAAAAATACCACTATGATAGAAAAGAAAAGTAGTTACATAATGCTACCATAGTACAAAGTTTTCAACTCATCCTTTGGAAACATTCTTGAATAAAAGATTTTAAGCGATTAAAACAAATACAAACAGGTTAGGAATGATTTAATTCCTGCTAAGATGATTATAGGAGTTAGGCCACTGATTAACACAACCAACACAATTCCAAACATCTCAAATTAGGCTTTCGAGTGTCAAACTAGAAGTAATACCAATACCAAGCCCAAACATAAATAGAATACTGAGTGGCTAGTATCACATATCATAAATAATCAATAAGTTCCAAAACAGTCACAAGCACAGCCTTAAGGCCTTCAGTCTACTACTAGCACTAAAATCCATAAAATTAGTTTAATAATCAAATCTCTAATTACTATAGTATACAAAAGAAAGGGGCCTTAGATGGTAATGTACAACCCTTCCGTACATGCAAAAAGAAAGAAGGGGGCAGTACAAGAAGCTATGAGAGCTTAGGTCTCCGAATTCTTCCTTGGTGGCGCGACCCTAGAACTTTCACCTGAAAACATTAATAACCAAGGGGTGAGACATAAACTTTAATGACCAACAACATTATACAGAAGAATTTGGTTTTACAAATCCAAATACAAAAAAGCATTCTCTGTGTGTGTGTAATAAATAACGTAAATGTCTTGCGATGGGAAGGATTTTTAACCTTGAGAAGATATGAAGTAAAAGAATTACATTGAAGTGATGATATGGTTCATTTGGTTAGGTGTTTATATGGTCACAAGAGTGATTGTTCTGGAGAGTGAATTATATTTTCAAAACATAATGGGATGAATGAATAGCGTCTCATAATAACTTTTGTAAATAACATATATATATATATATATATTTCAATTTGTTATTTTTTTATGTTATATGATCAATATTGATTTTTAAACATTATTTTCTGGAAAAACCGATTTGTTGGAATTATATCACTTCTTTAATGATATTTAAATGTCTAAATGGAATATATTTTTTAAAAAAGTTAATTCTTTAACTGTTTCGTATCATTTTATTTATTTCAAATCTTTTCTTTGAAAATGTTAAAGGAAGCCTTTGAGGATTTTGTAAACTTTCGCTTGCGCGTGTGTATATATACACATATTGGAAACGTACCTATTCAAGCTTATGCTATTTGAAAAGAATTATTTTTCATTGGCTGATGGCATTTGAAAGGAAAATTTTGAAAATGTTGTTTGCAAACCTTCATGCTAGGATCACTTGTTATAGAATATTCTTTGTGAGATTTCATTATTAGAAGAAGATATTTTTTATTTTCTTAATGGTAAATTGAACCCATGCATGCTTCTAAATATTTTTGTGAGGACTGTACGCAGAACGTTGGTTGCTAACAATAGTACTCTTAGTCCTTGATGCACCATAATTAATATCGAGCTTGCTTGTTTCATGGCTTCAACTATGCTTGTTATTCGTGGTTTCGACTGTGCTTGTTATTCATGCATTCGGCTACACTTGTTTATTCGTGGCTTGTTTCATATTATTTTATGATTTGATTTTCTCTAAATGAGCTCTTTAAATGCTGAGTTACTTTTTATAGTAAAAGTGTTTTATATACTTTCTTTCATGTTTTAATGAGTTTTACAGAAATTGAAAGCAATGGTAAATCATTTATTTACAAAATTGCATATGCATAATTTGTTATTTTAGCATTTTTTTATCTTACTCTTTTTTTTTAATCAATGGGACATTATTCGCTAGTAAATTATTTTGGCATCAAATAGCACTGCTAACCCTACATATTCTGTTTTGAGGCCTTCATTATTACTAATCAAAACTTGTAGATCTATTTGACTAGTTGCTTATTCATGTAAATAGAAATTTACACTTAATTACTTTTCTAACATTAATTTATAGGCAGCATCCCTGTCCTCTTTTATTATTATGAAATGTATGTATGTTCTTGCATGTCTTAGAATTAATATATATGTACTTGAGATTAAAATAATTATTACCTCAAGCAATTGTTTATTGTTTTAAGGCTTAAGAAATGTGAGTTCTCTTATATTTCATGTTGGTCATCTAATTTTCGAGGCATGACACTTATCTTATTGCTTTTTATTGAATTCTTCAGAGTTTTTTCAAACTCTAGGCTAAAATTCTTTAGTTACGAAGGGATCCCCTCAGGGATTCTTTTTGATACAGAGAATCCTCATACAAGAAAAATAAGGTAGAGTAGTAGACGTATTGAAAATTAGTTTAGAATATTGGATGTTATTGATAAAATAATTCAGAGTGTAGCTTGCTAGATGCTAAGTATGGCTGAAATTATCTGAGTAATAAGAACACCAAAAATTATTTTAAAATAACGGATGCAATCTTCAATGTTTACGCCCAATTTTTGCACCCAAAACAGGATAGTTTGGATAGAGGAGGAGAAGTTGATGATCAGCCTGGTTCCTAATTATACTTTCGGACCTCCGTCATTCTGTATTCTTCAACTTTCAAATTCAACCAACACAATCCGTGAAAGCTAAAGAAAAATGGTCGATCTGAGCAAATGGCTTTCGGAGAAGCCTCCGCCCACACGCAACTGCTGAACTGCTCGTTTGGCTCTGGATGCAAGGTTGGGTAGGTTAAGCTTTTTCTCTTCTAGCCGGGCTTTTCAAATCAAATACTGTTTTAACTTCTAAGAAAATGCTTGGGTTTTGGTGAATTAAATACATTTTTTAATCTTTTTTCTGCCTCAATTATTGTACCCTTTTCGATTCTATGAAGATTGGATGTAGGTGTAGCCGTTTATCATTTAGATTCTGTGAATGGTCTGATTGAAGAAGTTTGCTGTATATCTGAAGTTCTTTTTTGTTTCTATAGGCATGCAAAGAGTTCATGCAGTATGCTCCATTTCCCTTGGTTTAATTGTCAGACCCAGTTGTAAATATTATCGGATTTAAGTGTGGCATTAGGGACAACAATAGAAGGCATACGGTTTTCGCTGGAAGCCTGAAAGAAAGTTTTTCTTTTCTTTTCTTTTCATCTCTATTGGAAAGAAGGTGATTTGATTCTTCGAGCTCAACATAGGATAACCTCATAACAAAAACCAAGTAACCTCGTGGACGATGGCATCTAAAGAGCTAATTATATCAGTAGGAGGATTTGAATAATTAGCTCTTTTGGTGCAGTCACAGGATACTTATAATTCAGTCCAAAAAAAAAAAAAAACGAAAAGAAATAATTATAACACACAATTTGACAATTTAAAATTTGAGGGACCTTTTGACTTGGTTGTTTTTCATTTTAATTTTGCAATGCATATGCACTTCCATTGCATGCATTATGATTGTGATTGGATGCTTAGATATTTTCTGTTTGTTAGTCACTGTTGATGCAGAAACATTTTGTTGCTTCTTGCTTGTTACATTGACTTGTTGGGTTATCTTGTTTTGGAAATTTGGTTGCGTACTGCACTTAATTTTAGCCTCTTGTATAATTTTCAGTATTACGGTTATTTGAAGATTTGGATCTTTTGTTGCTTGAAGCATGAACAGTTACCATACTGCCTCAGTTTTTTAGCTTTTCAAAAAGATGGCGGGACCATCAGTAAGGATTATCTTGGATATAGAGGAGGATCTTTTGTTCAAACTTCCCATTTGTATTTATCTCCAAAAAAAGCTGTTTTCTCCAGATTGTAAGTATATGCTTTTGTCTTAATAGAGTGATCGCACACTTATTCTTTGTTGAATATGAATGTTAAAGCGTATGGTTTATCCAAGTTAGCTCGTGGAAACAATTTTCAGTTCACCAGGATTCAGACTAAGATTTTCTGTACAGTGAAGAGAAAAGTATTGGGTTATGGTTCAGTGGATATGTCAGAGAATGGTTATGCATCTTTCTTGGATAACTGTTCAGAAGTACTTTCCTTGAAGAAATTGCATGCTCGAATTATTGTTTGTGGGCTTGAAAATTGCAATTTATTAGGCTCTAAGCTTTTGCATTGCTATGCTAAACTTAACCTAGTAGGTGAATCTCGATGTGTTCTTCGTAGAATTGTTAGTGGTGATCTTTCTGTTTGGAATTCGTTACTTGTTGGGTGTTATAGGGCCGGCAACTATGAAGAAGTTCTTATTCGATATTTGGATTTGAAGTGTCAGAAAATTGGTTTAGGTGGTTCAGCAATTACTGTTATTCTGAGAAGTTGCGTTGATCTTGGGAGGTTTGATTTTGGAAGAAAAATTCATGTGGATACCTTCAAATTCAATCTGAATGTGGACTGCTTTGTGGGTAGTTCTCTTATTAAGCTGTATTCTAAAGCTAACGATTTGGAAAGTGCCTCTAAGGTGTTTGATGAAATTATTGACAAAGATCATGTGGCATACACATCAATCATCACTGCTTTTGCTCAGTGCAACCTTAGTGCTTATAAGGCCTTTCAGATTTCTCTTAGAATGCAGAAGAAAAAGCTGCAACTGAATCGAGTGACATTAGTGAGCCTGCTTCAGGCAGCAGTTCAATTGGGAGCACTAGAACAAGGTCGTGCAATCCACGGCTATGCCATTAGACAAGGAATTGGCATGTCAGATGAGATTTTTGAAACAAGCCTCATGGACATGTATTACAAATGTGGGCACCCACAAATGACTGCTCTGATATTTGGTAAAATGGATGTGAGAAGGGTTGGTTCATGGAATACCATGATTGCTGCTTATCTTCAGATGGGACAAGAATTAGAAGCAGTCAGACTTTTCTGTCATATGACGTGTGAAAATATTTTGCCTGATTTGTTAACCTTAGCCAATGCACTTTTGTCTTGTTCTAATTTAAATTATATACGTCAAGGGAAGAGTATCCATGGTTACATGATACGGAGGGGGATGAACCTGATCTGGTTGCTAGCACTGCTTTGGTTGATCTGTACTCTAAATTTGATGTAACCAAAGCTAGAAAAATGTTTGAAAGCTTGGGGAATAAGGACGTTGTTCTATATAATGTTATGATGGCCGGTTTCCTCCAAAATGAACTATCTTTGGAGGTTATAAATACTTTCAATGAAATGGTCAAAATAAGCATTCGGCCAAATGTTGCTTCATATCTGAATTTACTTTCTGCTGTATCAATTTTGAGAGAATTTAGGATAGCTAGGTCCATCCATGGGTATTTATTGAAGCATGAATTTCTCATGAATGTGGAAGTTGTGAATCAAATAATTAACACTTATGCTAATTGTGGGAATATGCTTTATGCTGAGAGAGTCTTTATTTGTGCAAGATATAGGGACTTGGTTTCATGGACTTCGATGATGAGAGGTTATGTTTACCATGGCTGCCATTATGAAGCCATAGTTTTGTTTCGTTTGATGCAAAAAGAAAATCTGAACCTTGACTCTGTTACTTTAACAAGTCTGATTCAGGCATTATCTCTTTTTGGGTGTCTAAGTTCTGTCAAGGAAGTTCACTGCTTGATTTACAAAGGCCTGCTTGGTAGAGAGTTATTTGTAACCAATTCTCTGCTTACAGCTTATGCAAAGTGTGGTAGAATAGATATAGCTAGATGTATGTTTAATCAAATGGTAGATCGCTCTCTTACAACATGGAATGCAATGATAGCTGCATATGGGATGCATGGAAACTGCGCAGAGGTTTTAAAACTCTTCGAACAAATGAAATCTGCCGGAGTTAGACCTGATGAAGTAACTTTTACATCAATACTCACTGCCTGCAGTCATTCAGGTTTTGTAGAAGATGGTCTACAAGTTTACAAGACCATGGTGCAGGAATATTCCTTACTTCCATGTGAAATTCATTATTCATGTATTGTAGATTTATTGAGCCGATCCGGACTACTTAAAGAGGCGTACAGTTTGGTTAAAATCATGCCATCAACCCTGGATTCTTCGGCATTGTGTTCTTTGCTTTCTGCTTGCAGATTATATGGTGATACAGAGATAGGTGAGGTTATTGTGAAGCAAATGTTAGAGCTGGAACCGAATAACTCAAGTTTACAGTCTCTGGTGTCAAACATATTTGCTGGGAAGGGAAAATGGGATAAAGTAGCCCAAATTAGAGCTATTACAAAGGATAAAGGGTTGAAGAAAACTCCAGGACATAGTTTGATAGAGCTGGACAAGCCACATGTTAGGTGATCTCATGACAAACTTCATTGCAAGTTCCCATCCTATTTGATTATTCAAGTCTCTTTATAACTCAGATCCTCTCTAAGCGTCTAGCTTCCCTGCATGTCTTTGCACATGTCCTCTGCTGGCCACCTAAAATGACATCGTTCAATTATGATTAGTGAAGATACACCATCTATTGTATTGAATGATCAGGAAATCCACCGCAACAAAATTGAATTATGCCTGTTGCTTTTGGGAAATCATGACTGCCCATTTCTGCTCCTAGCTTCCTTTTCTAATGCGCCCTTGCTTCTGTTTTTCATTTATCAGATGCTCGCAGTGCCACTGTCAGGTGTCTTCTACAATGGTCTATTCCTGTCTTCTTTCCATCCACTTCTTTTTCGCCCATAGCCCTCCAACTCTAAACTTTATCCATTACTGGAACAGGGTACAATCTGCTGTGGAAGGGAATTCATGATGGCAAGTATTCAACAGAGGATCACAGGACCATCTCCCTCAGTAGCACTACATTTGAAGCTTAAAGTCCTCAAGAGAGCGATCCTTTTTGCTTGGAACCTCTTTAATATGGTTGAGGAGTAACATCTCCAATTTGATCAATTGTGCCCTTTCTGCAATTTGATGATTTAGAACCCATCAGTTACGTCTTTTGTCAATGTGACTTAAGTAAGGTTGTTTGGTTCACTTCTCTAACTTGCGTTGACTCATGTCAACAGCAAGATATTATGAATCAGTTTTTTATGTTGGTTTTGCTAAGAAGAAAAGCACAGGTCTTCATGAATACTTTTCAAAGCTTATCATTTTGCTGCTTTGGATGGTATTTGGTCGATGAGAAATGATATTATGCTCAGATCTTGACAAGCTTCGGGCTCAAACCTGAACAAGCTTAGCTATGAATATCTTCACTTGAGAAGTTTCACAGGTTATCAAGTGAGAAGGCAACCTCAAGGCTTAAGCTACTACTACAGGCAGGTTTTAAGGTTGGACAATGGTTTCTCGTAACAAATAACCAAAGCCATTAGTGCAGACTCATTCTAAACCATTTTCTGGATTTACTTCTGGGGTCATTTGATTTGTATTTGGAAATGTAAAGCTCAGAAGAATCTTGTCAGGGCGTTTGTTTGTCTCTGCTAGCTGGGTCTTGCAAATCCTATACTGTTTTAAGGAAAATGTTTAGTTTCTGGTGAATTAAATACATGTTTTTAAATCTTTTCTCTGCCTTAATTTAGATTTTATGAAGATTGAATGTAGGTTTGAGAGCTTATCATTTATATTCTGGTCTGATTGAAGAAGTCTGCTGTATACCTGAGGTTCTTTTGTTTTTGCTGGAAGCCTGATAGAGTGTTTTTCTTTCCTTTTTCCCCCCTCCGTTTGGAAAGAAGGCGATTTGTTTGTTGGCTATGGAAGTCTCATAGTATTAATTGCCAGTTAAAAAGTTCATATTTCTGGCCGGGTCATAGGTCTGCCAAACAAGACTTCTCTGTGCATCTTGAAATATTGTCATTTTTATTAATTTTCTTGCTCCCCTTTTCAGTATTCAATGTTTCAGTTTGCCCTACTCACTATTGTATTCTTTTATTAAAAGGATTTATAGCGATTTCTTATGGTTTTACGCCAAAAGTTATTTGTCAGCTTCTATAAGTTAGTTTTCAAGTGCGTTGGGAGTTAATTTTGCCAAAAAGGAAACTGTAATAGGATGGATAGTGAAGCCTCAAATGAAGATGCTATGGAAGTGCTTTGACTTCCAGGGTGATCTGGGTGGGAATTTTACTGGACTTTTGGCAGACTGATAGAACTAATGTTTTGGCATTGCTCTTTTATAACTGTGTATATAAGTTGGTTAGGTTTTAGTTCTGGACACTTCAGCAAGTGTTAAGATGTTCAAATTCATTGCTCTGGATAAACAGAAAGACGAATCTTAGGTTTTTGTCTTGTTTTCAAATGTTTACTATCAAGTTTGCAATGAAAACTTGAGAGGTGCATATGTCTTAGAGCTCAACATTGGATAACCTAATAACAAAAACCAAGTAACCTCGTAATAGTTAGCTCGGTTGCTGCAGTCATAGTCAAGGATGCTTATGGTTCAGTAAAAATGTCTAATGCATAATTTGACAATTTAAACTTTGAGGCTCATCTTGATTTGGTTGTTTTTTTTATTTCAGCTTGGCAATGGGTCTGCACTTCCATCGCATGCATTATGATTGTGATTGGATGCTTAGAGGGTGTTTGGATTAGTTTTTAGAGAAAAACTTTGAAGAATGTGATAAAAGTGATTTTAGAGAATAGATTATGAGTAGAATAAATTTTTAAAAAAGTGATTTTGATAAAATATGTTTTCTGTTTGTTAGTCATGTTGATGCAAAAACATTTTGTTGCTTCTTGCTTGTTACGTTGACTTGTTGGGTTTTCTTGTTTTGGAAATTCTGGTTGCGTACCACACTTAATTTTAGCCTCTTAATTTTCAGTATAATAGTTATTTGAAGCTCTGAATCTTTTTTTGCTTGAAGCATGAACAGTTGCCACACCGCCTTAGATTTTTGGCCCTTCAACAAGATGGCGAGACTACTAGTACAGATTATCTAGGATACAAAGGAGGATCTCTTGTTCAAACTCCCCATTTGTATTTATCTTAAAAGAGGCTGGCTTCTCCAGATTGTAAGTGCATGTTTCTCTCATTCTCCTTCGAATAAAAAATGTGGTCATGGGTGTCACTTTTGAGTCCTTGTTTATAATCAACAATGAAAGTAACTCTGGTGTCACTGAGCTTCATCAAATCTGATGTTTACATTCCTTGGCAGAACTCACTCTTCTCCAAAACTTGGCTTAAGAGCTACAAAATCAAAGGTCAGTCCTTGGCCTTGGACGAGAGGGATACAAATATAGCAGTATTTACGTTGATCAGCTATGTCAATAGTAAGCAGGTCCAATCCTGTAGATTTAAGAATCACAAAAGAGATATTTGTTTCAGCTATTCGCTTTGCAACATCCACAGAGGGACCATGTCCCCCGTTTGGAGATGAGCTTCGAACTTCTGCTCAAGAGCAGGTTGAGTATATGTTAGCAGAGGATGAAGACACTGCAATGGTTTTGGTCTATGATGAGGTGAGATCAGCAATAGCAATGGGTGTTTCCAAGGTTTTTTGTTTATTTGAAATGGATCTGTCTTCTTTGCTCTTGGATGCTAACCTGGAGTCTGAGGCTGCTCATAAGAGGATTTTGCTGAGAGTTGCTGATCTTGAATGGATGTGTAATGTCCTCCTAAAGATGGATTTAGTGAAGAATTTGTTTTGCAGTGGACTGCAATCTCTAAAAAAATTCTGGCAGTGATAGAAGACAAGAAGCTTGACCATGTCATGTGGGGCCTAAAAGCAAAGATGATAGAAGTAACGGGGAAGGTCCTTGAAGCTGTGGGTTATGGTAGTGTGATTGTTCCAGCTCTATGCAGGGTTCAGTTGCTTAAAACCTGGCTTCCATATGTCCGGAAGATGAAGCCTATACTAGACTCAAAGGCCACTGAGGAGATAGGTTTTCCATACAAGATGGGTGAAGACTTGTGCCAGAACATTGAGGGCTCGATCGTATCGTTGGTGCTAACCTTGCCGTCGAATGATCAGGCAGACATTCTTGCTGATTGGATCAAGGGTCAGGAGGTTCAGTATCCTGACTTGAGCGAGGCTTTCGAGGTATGGTGTTACAGAACCAAGTCTGCAAAGAGGAGACTCGTGGAAGGCTTAGACGGCCACAGTGATGACAGCATTTGAGTTGGGTTCCAAGGCCCTGACCTTTTTTTTTTTTTTTGTTCATTGCTTTTTGGCTTCAATTCTATGTTTGGAACATTGGCGTTAGTATAAGCATATGTGAACCTCAATGTATGATTAGTGCAGCAATAGCGACTCACCCAACTGATATTGGTCCATAATATAATTCAGGAAGTTTACTGTTTTTGTTGTATAATCTTATGGCATAAGAGCATGATAATGCTTGATTGAGCATAAAAACGCGCCTTGGAGATAACAAATTTTGGATAATTATTTTTTGTGATCCCCTCTCCTTTATTCATTTATAATGTGATTTGCTGCAACATGTGCAACTCTTTTTTCTAGATATTAAAATTATGAGAATACCGTTGTTAAATTTGAGTATAAGGAAATAAAACTTCAACTTGAATAATAAATCTCAAACGGTTATATAAGATTATCATATCTGTAGCATTCGCAGTTATTGGATTCTAAATTACAACTGTTATTTTATTTTTAGCCTGATTATGTAAGAATAACTTGGTAAAAATGCAATTGTCATTTTTTTTTGTAATAAAAAAAAAAGAAATTGTCAAATTGATAGAACAGTTGCATCATTTTAAATGCTTGTTCTTGGATTTATTTCATATAGAATAATCACTTGGCTTAGGGGAATAAAAGATGGAAGAAGAAAAATGATAATTTGGGAAATTGCCTGATGGTCAGGATAAACTTCTATTTTTTAAAGAAAAAGTTGACGTTCTGTATTGAGAAACATTGCTTGCTTCTTTTCAGAGCATCAGAGCAAAAGGAAATTGTACTAGTTCTCAGATGTAGTGTCATTACACTCTACTGGGTTAACTTGGCTATTGAGGACATCAACTGCTTGACTATAAGCACTTGCAGATGACGCAAGTGACTAGAACAAATGAGGAAGTCTCGATCTGAGGCTGTTTAGAGTCATCACTTTGTTCAATTGCTTAGCTTTCAAAACATTTCCCTCCTCGGTTTCCTTTTGCTTCCTTAAGGCTTCAATATTGTCACATTTAGCTGATAAAAAGGCTTCAACTTTGGCACGTTTAATTGCTAAAGGATTACTGGGGCTTGCAGGTGTATCTCCCCATCATCATTCCACTGAAGTTTGTTGTTCATCTCTTCTAGTGAGGTTTGTTCCTTGTTCAGCTTTCTCTCCAATTTTTTGACCCTTTCTTGCAGTCTGCCTTCCGCAGCTTGCTGGACAATTATGCTACTAATAGATGATAGAAGGCTTTT